TAATCTGCATTTAGTGACACTGTAGTTGAGAAGAGTAAACAATTCTGGGAATATTGTTGGAAAGAAATGGGTCTGCTATGTGTCAGAAAAACACAAATTGGACGGGTATGTCCTCATTCTGATTAAAAAAGTCTCAGTTTTGGTGTTTTTAAATTTATTATTTTTTTAGATATTATTTTAAATAGTACAAAATAATATGTATGTGATTAAAAAACATAAAGTTACCAAATAATATATTAAAAAATAAATATTAATCAAATTTGAGGGGCTATTATATTAAGGAATATTGTGCTGCCCCCCTCCACCACTAGTTTTGCTAAACTAGTGACCCAATGATTTATTTATAAATCAAAATGCATTTACTAGTGTATGGAAATCACATTGCAAGCCAAACAAAAGAGCATCTGTATGTTATATGTATGTGAATAATTTATTTCCTATTAATGTTTACATAAATAATTCAGCATTTAAGGATGAGACCCAGGTTCATGGTCTCTTATATTCAAACCTATATTTCACAGTGAAGATGGCATTTGAACACCCACATGTTATATACTTTAGTTAGCTCTGTGTGTGAATTGTGTGAAAATATAGTTTTTTTCTAAAACTAGTGAAGTGTATGCGTGTTTCTCTTTTTTGAGTTTTTTCACTCAATGCAATATGATTAAAGTCTTACGTATTTTATTTTTAATATATGCTTTTATTTTTTTATTATAAACTCAATATTTGGTATTTAACTATTTCCACTTTGAACAAATCATCAAATAATAGATGAACATAAAATAAAATTAAAATAAAATATAATAAAAAACACACAAACTAGATCTCATTCTGATCGATTGGTAATAAATACAGTTGGTAGTTTATTTTGATTACAAATTATTCATAATTGATGAGGCTGTGGTCACATGACTTGATGAGAATTATATTACTACATGTACATATAAAAATATCAAGGGTGGGGCAATTTTTTTTCCTTCGAAGAGACTTTTGTGTATTTTCTATTTCCATCTTTCCTTACCTTTTGGTTTCTTGAAACATCAAATTATTGAAGTAATGATAACAAATTTTATGTTTAGATTACAAGTTTAGGATGCTTTTTAATACAACATTGATTAGCAAAAATCTGCTCCCATCTGTCTGTCAGCAAAAGTAAACATTACACAGCGCCCTCATAGTCAGTACTTGACTTTTAAATAAAGACCATGTAAGTTAAAAAGAAAAGGTTCGAACGTTGATGTATTTTTAATTTTATTTGTCAACTAACGAGAACAAAATATGCTTTTTTATGAGCAAAATGCTCGAATATAATATATTCATACAAAATACGCTTTGCATAATACGTTTTTTACGAACTTGAACATGAATGATTTAATTAACGTTTATATATAAATTATATTTATTGATAATTTTTGCCAAGTTAGGGAGTTCAATTAGAGTAGTGTTGTGATCGAAAGTGAGAGTGGTTGTTCATTTTACGACTTTTATGCCGTCGACAGTATGACAACCGGCTGGTCACCTGGATAACTAGTGATGCGGACATTTCACGATCGTACAAGTGACGTAACGGAGACAATACAGGCTGTTATTCACGATCGGACTTTCACCAGAATGTCAGTTTCTATCGCGGAACCGAATCCGGGGACGTGTCATCTACGGAGACCGTTCCGTAATGACCAATCAACTACGATATTAAAATCGGACGTTTCATTTTCAAGAACTCCCGTCAGAAAAACCGAACCACGCATGTTGTTCATGTAAACAACGAGAATAACAATTCATTATGGTTGACAACAATAATTATATACTTTGTTGTACGGACAATGTGATGTTGTTTCCAGTAACCGGCGTCTTTCTGACACTACTGGGGTTGGTTCTCGGTATTTTGTATTTCAGTCTACGTAGTATTACTGATTCCATCGAACACACGGAGAGTGCCATTCCCACGTATGTGGTGGCTTCAGCGGTAAGTACTGTTCCATCACGTAAAATTATATATCTTAAAATATTAAAATAGATGAGACAATATTAATATGATATTCAAATAATGCAAAAGGGTTCGGTAATTTCAGACCCGGTTCATATCAGGGTGGAGCTCACAAACAAAGCTATCGATTTCAATTACTAGTTTGTTTGGGCAAAGGTTAAAACCTTGTGGCACAATTTTATCAGTATCCACGTTAGGAATTCAGGGAGGGTGTCTGACAGATTTGTTAAAAAAAATTGCAGCTAGAA